CGACTCTCCTGCCTCAGTCTCCCAAGTGGCTAGGATTACAGGCACGTACCACCATGCCCAGCTAATTTTAGTATTTTCAGTAGAGAGAGATTTTCGCCATGTTGGCCAGGCTGGTCTTGAATTCCTGACTTCAGGTGTTCCAGCCACCTCAGGCTTTCAAAGTGCTGGGATTACAGGCGTGAGTCACTCTGCCTGGCCTCCATCTTTAAATCATATTTCAAATCGAAACACTTTTCCTTTTTTTTTGAGACGGAGTTTCACTCTTGTTACCCAGGCTGGAGAGTGCAATGGCACGATCTCGGCTCACCGCAGCCTCCACCTCCTGGGTTCAAGGAATTCTCCTGCCTCAGCCTCCTGAGTAGCTGGGATTACAGGCACGCGCCACCATGCCTAGCTAATTTTTTTGTATTTTTAGTAGAGACGGGGTTTCACCATATTTACCAGGATGGTCTCGATCTCTTGACCTCGTGATCCACCCGCCTCGGCCTCCCAAAGTGCTGGGATTACAAGCGTGAGCCACTGCGCCCGGCCGAAACACTTTTCTTTATCTTCACTATGGTTGCCTGAGTGCAACACACCATCAGCACTTACCTGGTTTGGTGCAGTACCCTGTTAATGGTCTCCCTGCCTCTATGCTTGCATTGTAAGAGCTTTTCCCACACAACAGTCAGAAGGCTTTGGGTACATAAGGGTGAGATCTGGGCGGGGCATGGTGCCTCACACCTGTAATCCCAGCATTTTGAGAGGCTGAGGCAGGAAAAAAAGCTCTTGAGGCCAGGAGGCTAGGAGTTCAAGACCAGCCTGGGCAATATAGCCAGACTCCATCTCTTTAGAAAATTTAAAAATTGGCCGGGCGCGGTGGCTCAAGTCTGTAATCCCAGCACTTTGGGAGGCCGAGGCGGGTGGATCACAAGGTCAAGAAATCGAGACCATCCTGGTCAACATGGTGAAACCCCGTCTCTACTAAAAATACAAAAAATTAGCTAGGCATGGTGGTGCGTGCCTGTAATCCCAGCTACTCAGGAGGCTGAGGCAGGAGAATTGCCTGAACCCAGGAGGCGGAGGTTGCGGTGAGCCGAGATCGCGCCATTGCACTCCAGCCTGGGTAACAAGAGCGAAACTCCATCTCAAAAAAAAAAAAAAAAATTAGCTGGGTGTGGTGGCACCTGCCAGTAGTCTCAGCTACTGAAGCTGAGGTGGGAGGATTACTTGAGCCCAGGAGTTCGAGCCTGCAGTGAACTATGATTGCACCACAACACCCCACCCTGGGTGACAGAGTGAGACCTTATCTCTCTCTCTTTCTTTTTTTTTTTTTTTTTTTTAGATGGAGTCTTGCTCTTGTTGCCCAGGCTGGAGTGCAATGGCACTATCTCAGCTCACTGCAACCTCCACCTCACAGGTTCAAGCAATTCTCCTGCCTCAGCCTCCTGAGTAGCTAGAATTACAGGCAAGTGCCACCAGGCCTAGCTAATTTTGTATTTTTAGTAGAGACAAGGCTTCTCCATATCAGTCAGGCTGGTCTTGAACTCCTGACCTCAAGTGATCTGTCCGCCTTGGCCTCCCAAAGTGCTGGTATTATAGGTGTGAGCCACTGAGCCCGGCTGAGACTTTATCTCTTAAAAAAAAAAAAAATCCAAGCACGGTGGCTCACGCCTGTAATCCCAACACTTTGGGAGGCCAAGGCAGATCACTCGAGGTCAGAAGTTTGAGACCAGCCTGGCCAACACAGTGAGTGGTGAAACCCCATATCTACTAAAAATACAAAAATTAGCTGGGTTTGATGGTGCACACCTGTAATCCCAGCTACCCGGAAGATTAAGGCAGGAGAATTGTTTGAACCTGGGAGGCAGAGGCTGCAGTGAGTTGAGATTGTTCTACTGCACTCCAGCCTGGATGACAGAGTAAGACTCTGTCTCAAAGAAAAAAAAAAACCGCTAAATAAATAAGAAGACTTGGGGGCCAGGCTTGGTGGCTTATGTCTGTAATCCCAGCACTTTGAGAGGCCAAGGCGGGTGGATCACGACGTCAGGAGTTCCAGACCAGCGTGGCCAACATGGTGAAACCTGTCTCTACTAAAAACAAAAATTAGCCAGTTATGGTGGCACACGCCTGTGATTCCAGCTATTCAGGAGGCTGAGGCAGGGTAATAGCTTGAACCTGGGAGGTGGAGATTTCAGTGAACTGAAATCACACCACTATACTCCAGCATGGGACAGAGTGAGACTGTCTCAAAAAAAAAGAAAAGAAAAACAAAACAAAAAGACTGGGGCTTAGAGGCAGGTATAATTAATGCGTAACAATTGCTAACACTACGCACTTCCTCCTGGTGCCAGGCAGGTTAAACCCTTAACATCAGGCCAAGAGCAGTGGCTCATGCCTGTAATCCCAGAACTTTGGGAGAATTTGAGCCCAGGAGTCTGAGATCAACCTGGGGAACATGGTAAGACTCCCATTTACAAAAAATACAAATATTAGCCGTACATGCATTGGTGGATGCCTGTAGTTCCAGCTGCTGGAGAGGCTAAGGCAGGAGGATCACTTGAGCCTGGAGGTGGAGGTTGCAGTGAGCCAAGATTGCTCCACTGCACTTCAGCCTAGGTAACAGAGCAAGACCCTGTCTCTAAATAAATAAATAAACCCATATTATTCATTCAGCTCTTCCATGTGCATGTACGGTATGTCTGCTGTGTATCAGGCACTCTGGCTCACCCTGGGATAAGGTGGTAAACAAAAGACAAGGTTTGTGTCTTCTTTGAACTGACATTCTGGTTAGGGAGGCTGACAGTGAGTGAAAAGACACATAAGTTATGTAATGACAGATGGTGGCAAGTGCTAAGGAGAAAAAGATTGTCACCCAGAGAGCCAACTTTAGGTGAGCAGGGTAAGCTTCCTGGAGGAGGTGATCCCCAAGTTGGAAGTAGAAGGAAGCAAAGAGGTGAAAGAAAAATGGAAGGCATATCAAGCATCAGTGCTGGGATCTGAGTGGCTGGAGTACGTGAGTGCGTGGGAGAGTGAAGGGGGATACAGGTAGGAGGTGACAGAGCAGATGGTGCTGGGCCTGTGGGCTGCAAGGAGGACTTGGGATTTGACGTGGGTAAAGTGGGAACCATGAAAGGTTCTTGAGCAGAGGAGGGGCATGGCCTCACTCTGATGTTTGCAAGTGTCTCCCTGCCCCTATTGGGGGAATGGGAATAGGAGCTGGGGACCAAGGAGGCAGGGTGGTACTACCTCAGCTCAGTGATGATGGGGTCTGGGAACTGATAATGTGGACAGAAACAAGTGGGGTTTGGGAGCTTTTTTTTTTTTTTTTTGAGACAGAGTTTTGCTCTGTCACCCAAGCTGGAAGGTATTGGCAGTCTCAGCTCATTGCAACCTCCACCTCCTCGGTTCGAGTGATTCTTGTGCCTCCTGGCCAAGTCAGGAGCTATTTTTTGGTGGGAAGGGAGCTGGGGCTAAAGAAAATGCCAGACTCAAAGGATCCAGGGGAACAAAGGCATTGATGAAGGGGTCAGTGCCAGTATAGGGTAGAACTTGGGGGCTCTGGAGCCAAGACCTGGGTTCAAATGCCTTCATGGAAACAAAATGCAGGCCGGGTGCAGTGGCTCATGCCTGTAATCCCAGCACTTTGGGAGGCCGACGCAGGTGGATCACATGAGGTCAGGATTTTGAGACAAGCTTGGCTAACAAGGTGAAACCCCATCTCTACGAAAAATACAAAAATTAGCTGGATGTGGTGACTCACACCTGTAATCCCAGCTACTCAGGAGGCTGAGGCACAAGATTCGCTTGAAGCTGGGAGATTGCAGTAAGCTGAGATCATGCCACTGCACTCCAGCCTGGGCCACAGGGGGAGACTCCATCTCACGAAAAAAAAGAAGAAAAAAGACTTCTTAGCCCCTTTCCTGTTGGGCAATCTGTAGATAGCACTTTGGGAGGCTGAGGCAGGCAGATAACTGGAGACCAGGAATTTTAGACCAGCATGGGCAATATGGTAAAACCCCATCTCTACAAAAAAAATACAAAAATTAGGTGTGGTGGTGTGCACCTGTAGTCCCAGCTACTTGGGAGGCTGAGCTGGGAGGATCACCTGAGCCTGGGAAGGTTGAGGCTGCAGTGAGCCATGACTGCACCACTGCACTCCAGCCTGGGCCACGGAGTGAGACCCTGTCTCCATGGCTCAAAAAAAAAAAAAAAAAAAGGCTGGGGGTGGTGGCTCACACCTTTAACCCCAGCACTTTGGGGGCCCAGGTGAGTGGATAAACTGAGGTTAGGAGTTCGAGACCAGCCTGGCCAATATGGCGAAACCCCGTCTCTACAGTAAAAATACAAAAATCAGCCAAATGTGGTGGTGTGCGCCTGTAATCCCAGCTACTCGGGAGGCTGAGGCAGGACAATCGCTTGAACCCAGGAGGTGGAGGTTGAAGTGCGCCGAGATTGCACCACCGCACTCCAGCTTGGGTGACAGGCCAAGACTGTTCCCCCCCCAAAAAAAAAAAAAAATCGGCTATTGAAGAAAAATTTCCCTAGAGGGGAGGGTGGAGACGGTTAAAATCTTGGGGCAGATCGTCTGGAGGCGACTGAGACAGGCAGTTGGCACCAGGGGGCAGTAGCGAGCCTGTGGGTAGCAGGGTCCATCCTGAGGGCCATCCCTTCACAGATCCAAAGTATCTGGCGAGCACAGTGACTGCAGGACCTCAGGTGCCTGGGCCCTGGGAGAGAGCAGGCCTAGGGGCGGGGTGTCCAGGATGGGTGATGGGGGAGGTGGGCAGGCTGCTTGTGCCTTCTGAAGTCCAGGGATTAGGGCCTAATCAGGGGAAATCTGAGCTGCCTGAAGGCTGGAATTCAGGCAGAGCCGCCGGCAGCCAGTGGGTTTCCTGCCCCCTCCTCCTTCCTTTTGAGAGAATTGCCCCAGCTCAGAGAATTCGAGAGCCTGGGAAGCTGGGGTCCCCCCCCACCAGCCACCCACTGGCTCACTGCCCCCCACAAACACTCCAGGCCTGGACCTGTACAATAGGCACTTTATTAGTGGTTGGAATGCAGTTACACGCAGGGTTGTGCAGACGCAGTGGGGGCAGGGCTGGCGCAGGTACAGGAAATGGGAGACCGCCCCCCTTCCTCCTGGGGCCGGGGTTCTCCCTCTCCAGGATCCTGGGACAGTGCTGATGAGCAGAGATGTTAAGTCTGAGGGGGCTTTGGAATATGGCAAAGGGGCCACTGGGAAGCCAGGTCCCCCAAGTTCAACAAGTTTGGCAAAAGTATCATCAAGTGAGGTGCGTGGGCAGAGGGGCCCGGTTTGCCCCGGGCATCTGCCCTCCACCTTTCCCCCTGAAATCATCCCTTGGGTGGTTGTTTCTTTCCTCTCTTACAAAGAGAGCTGTGTCAATAACTGGCAGAGGAAGTCGGGAAATTCAGCCTAACTCCATCCAGCCCAGCAGGTTTCCATTAAACAGCTATTAGTGATCTCCTCTCCAGCCCGCTCCCCACTGCCAACCACCTCCTCCCCACTGCCAACCACCTCCGTAAAAATGTCCCTCCCTCTCCCTCCTTCCCAGCCAGGAGACACCCCCACCTGGGCACACACACTCCCACCCCAGCCACTCCCAGCTAGGAGGGAGCAAAAGAAAGGCACTCCTTGGCGGCCCCATCTCAGCTGTTGAGACAGATGGAAAAAAAAAAGCTAATAGACCCTTTAATGCACGTCCAGGTTAAAAAATAATAAAGAAATGCTTCTGGTGGCTCTTACGCCAACTGTTCAGGTGTGGAGAAGGGGGTCAGTCCTGGCTGGAGCAGGCAGGAATAAACGTGGGTGTTCACTGTGGCCAGCAGCTCCCTCAGACACAAACACTATCCTTGTGGTCTGGCCCGTTGTCATGTCAGTGGGAACCGGAAGTACGAGGGAGCTTGCGGTGGTCGGACAACATCCCGGACATCAAGAGGCCCCACTGGATTTGAACTCATTTCTCGCAGTCTTGAGGGGCAGCTGTGAAAACTCCAAGCGCCCCTTGGCATAAGAAGGAGATACCCCAGACTCTCCATGTCCAGAAACTGGTGGGATCTGGCTCATGGGGATGGGCAGAGCGGCAGTGATAGGACTTTGGGTGAGCCCAAGGGGTCGGGGGAACACACCCTGCTACTGAGCACCCTGCGGCATGAGGCTCCACGAGAAGTGGGGAGCACGGGGCCTTCAGGACTCCGCTACCTTCTTGTTGGTCTTGTTCAAGAGTTTCTTGAGGGTGGAAGACATGAAGTAAGGCCTCTCGGCCGAGCCATCATTCCTCTCCAGGTCCTCCACTGTGGAGAGAGGTCCCAGAGCAGGAGGCATGAGGGGAGCTCACAGGCAGGGGCCACCGGGGACAGGGAGGGTGGACGAGGGTCACAGAGAAGCCTCAGAGGGTTAGAAAGCAGACACACTGGGACCAGAGAAGGGCGGACTGTGATGGGCTCCGAGGGACACACAGGATCCCCACAATCCCAGGCCAGGAAGCCTCCCGCTTCATGCACCCCCAATCTACACGGAAGAAACCTGGCCCCCACGCCAGCCTCCCTCCCTGTCTACTCCTCATCTTCTGCCCGCTTCCCCTCCTCCGCACTCCCCTTCAACAGGATGTCTCTCAGCTCGGGCGACATGAAGTAGGGTCGCTCCTGAGAGCCGTCATTCCTTTCCAGGTCCTCACCTGGGCTCCCCCCAGGAACCGGCAGGGGGAAAATGGGGTGGTCAGGAAGGGAGGGAAAGAGAGAGGCAGGGAAGAACAGGGAAGCCAGCAGGCATGGAGGTGAGGAAGAGAGAAGAAAAAACAAAACAAAACAAAAACAGATGGAGAGACCAGAGTTAGTGGCAGCCACAGATCCACCCCCCCCATCAAAGCCAGAAACTGCAAAGCGAGGGCTTGAGGCCAGCGTCTGGGCTGCAGCCTGGGTCAGTGGACAGGAGGTCAAAGCTGCTTCTAAGTGCAAAAGGAAACCAAGAAGACGGGCTGGGGACCCAGGACGAGGGCCAGCCAAGCCCCGGGGAAGCTGGGGGCAGGCAATCATGTTGCCCCGTTGGAGGGGGATGTGATGCCCAGTGGAAAGGAGGGTTTCGGGGCCCCGCAAGATTTGGGGTGAGGGGTCACTCACAGAAGCAGAGGAACAGCGTGTCCACACACATGCCATAGACGCTGAAGAAACCGTGTGCAATCAGGTAGGAGCCGATGATCACCGTCTGGGTGAGGAGAAACAAGCTGTCCTTGTTCTGTGCCCTTCCCAGAGCAACCCCCACCCACTATGTGCCTCCTATGCTGGGATCACGTCCTTCCTCTGCTGAGAAACTCTCTTTGGAATAACGACATCTTAACTCCTCGCCCCTGCCGGCCGGGCCCCACCATCCACACAGCCCTCTTCTCTCCCTCTCTCTTTTTCTTTCTCTTCTTCTTTTTTTTTTTTTTTTGAGACGGAGTTTCACTCATGTTACCCAGGCTGGAGTGCAATGGCACGATCTCGGCTCACTGTAACCTCCACCTCCTGGGTTCAAGCAATTCTCCTGCCTTAGCCTCCCAAGTAGCTGGGATTACAGGCATGCACCACCACACCTGGCTAATTTTTCTATTTTTAGTAGAGACAGGGTTTTACCATGTTGGCCAGGCTGGTCTTGAACTCCTGATATCAGGTGATCTGCCCACCTCGGCCTCCCAAAGTGCTGGGATGATAGGCATGAGCCACCAAACTCAGTCTGATTTTTTTTTTTTTTTTTGTATTTTTAGTAGAGACGGTGTTTCACCATGTTGACCAGGCTGGTCTCAAACTCCTAACTAAGGTGATCCACCTGCCTCAGCCTCCCACAGTGCTGGGATTACAGGTGTGGGCCACTCTCCCCTGCCCTTTTTTTTTTTTTTTTTTTTTTGAGACAGGGTCTCACTCTGTAGCCCAGGCTGGAGTGTACTGGTGCGATCTTAGCTCACTGCAACCTCTGCCTCCTAGTCTCAAGTGATCTTCCTTCCTCAGCCTCTGGAATAGCTTGGACTAGAGATGTGTACCACCATGCCCAGCTAACCTCTGTAATTCCCCCTTCCCCCACCCCAGAGATGGAGTCTTGCTCTGTTGCCCAGGCTAGAGTATACTGGCTCGATCTTGGCTCACTATAACCTCTACCTCCTGGGTTCAAGCAATTCTCCTGCCTCAGCCTCATGAGTAGCTGGGATTAAGGCACACACCACCATGCCGGCCAGGTTGGTCTCAAACTCCTGACCTCATGATCCACCCACCTCAGCCTCCCAAAGTGCTGGGATTACAGGTGCGAGCCACTGTGCCCAGCCAACCACTGTATTTTTTGTAGAGATGGGTTTTTGCCACATTGCCCATTACCCAGTCTGGTCTCAAACTCCTGGGCTTAAGGGATTCACCTAACTTGGCCTCCCAAAGTGCTGGGACTACAGGTATTAGCCACCGCACCCAGCCTCACTCTTGCTTTCTTTAACCCCTGGACCTTTGCATGTGCTATTGCCCTAAATTTAATTTATGCCTCATCAGCCTTCTGCTTTCAGCTCAAAGAGCAAGTCCTCAAGTTCCACCACTTCCAGGAAGCCACCCGTGACATACAGAGCCCGCTTTTTTTTTTTTTTTTTGGGGAGACAGGGACACACTGTGTTGCTCAGGCTGGAGTGCAGTGGCACCACCTCAGCTCACTGCAGCCTTGACCTCGCAGGCTTAAGTGATCCTTTCACCACATCCTCACCAGTAGCTGGGACTACAGGCACGTGCCACCATAGCCAGCTAATTTTTGTATTTTTTTGTAGAGATGGGGCTTTGCCATGTTGACAGGATGGTTTCAAACTCCTGAGCTCAAGCAATCTGCCTGCCTCCCAAAGTGCTCAGATTTTACGTGTGCCCCCCTGCATCTGGCCTAGAGCCTATTTTATGTCCTCCTAGCACTGGGCACCCCTCCTGAGCTCTTGGTTCAGCTGCAATTTTATGCCTATTTGGGTGCTTTCCAGGTTTAAAGCCCGTATCCTTCTTCTTTTTTCTTTTTGTTGAGACAGTTTTGCTCTTGTTGCCCAGGCTGGAGTGCAACAGCACGATCTCGGCTCACTGTAACCTCCGCCTCCTGGGTTCAAGTGAGTCACCTGCCTTAGCCTCCCTAGTAGCTGGGATTACAGGCACCCACCACCACACCTGGATAATTTTTGTATTTTTAGTAGAAATGGGGTTTCACCATGTTGGCCAGGCTAGTCTCAAACTCCTGACCTCAAGTGATCTGCCCGCCTCAGCCTCCCAAAGTGTTGGGATTACAGGCGTGAGCCACTGCGCTCAGCCTAATGCATACATCCTCACTACACCCAGTCCCATTTACTGCTACACCCCTAGCAATCTGGAGACTCCCAGGGCCTCGGTAGCTGCTTGATAAACATTTGTCAATGTAAGTCAGTGGAGCTGGCCAGGCGTAATGGCTCATGCCTGTAGTCCTTGCACTTTGGGAGGCTGAGGCAGGAGGATCCTTTGAGCCCAGGAGTTCAAGACCAGCCTGGGCAATATAGGGAGACCCTGCCTCTATTATTATTATTATTATTATTATTATTTATTTATTTATTTATTTATTTTTTTGAGATGGAGTTTTGCTCTCGTTACCCAGGCTGGAGTGCAATGGCACGACCTTGGCTCACCGCAACCTCCGCCTCCTGGGTTCAGGCAATTCTCTTGCCTCAGCCTCCTGAGTCGCTGGGATTACAGGCACGTGCCACCATGCCCAGCTGATTTTTTGTATTTTTAGTAGAGACGGGGTTTCACCATGTTGACCAGGATGGTCTCGAT